AGGTCTATGTTTACAAGTTAACTGTAGATAAAAACACTGTAGATCTATGTTTACAAGTTAACAACTTTAGATAAAAACACTGTAGGTCTATGTTTACAAGTTAACTTAGATAAAAACACTGTAGATCTATGTTTACAAGTTAACAACTGTAGATAAAAGCACTGTAGATCTATGTTTACAAGTTAACAACTTTAGATAAAAACCACTTGTAAACATAGATCTACAGTGTTTTTATCTACAGTTGTTAACTTGTAAACATAGATCTACAGTGTTTTTATCTACAGTTGTTAACTTGTAAACATAGATCTACAGTGTTTTTATCTACAGTTTAACAACTTTAGATAAAAACACTGATAAAAAATTATATGGCAAAATTTAATAGGATATTGTTCTCTAAAGTATTCAGAACAATTTTTTTTAAAGAAAAAAAAAACTTATACGTGCCAACTGTAAGTTTAATAACAGCATTGTTTGTTAACTCAGTAACTATATGTAGTAAATATCTGGTTTACACTGCAGTATGTCTGTGGACTTACACGCTAGAAACCAGATTTTGATACCCGTGGTGGCCAGAACACAGATAGCCCATTGTGTAGCTTTACTTATTTACAACCAACAAATGGTACGGTATATAGTTCTTACAAAATTTGCCATGGCTATAACATTCTAGGGTTATGATGCATGGTGGCTATAGTTATAGGCACTTTTAATTTCAAAACAACGTTCATCAAAATTTTGATATTCATCGTATACAAATTACACCTACATACAAGTGCATACAACAAATTTAGGAAATGCATATTTTTTGAATGAAAATAGTTTGCATAGAAATACCAATTATTTTATACTGGTTGTATATTTCATTTCACAAAATATCACATACATTTACGCCAACAATGATAATAATTAATGTTCTGCATCATTTTTGTTTGAATAAATATCTGAAGTAAAATAGTTCAACATAGTCTTCAAAACAATAAAATATTTCACAGCATTTTCTGCTAAATGAGAGGGAGGTCTTAATACAAGTAATTGAGTCAAGCATATTGAAACTTTTTTGTTTTAATATTTTTGGTAAAATTATGTTAAAGACAATGTATTTTACTTATGTTTTATTAACTATATATATGTACAGTCTATTTATATATACCAACATCGTAACCACCACAAAATTATAAAATACCCCTTTTTTTTTTT